AGTAAATGTACTTAGTTATTTTCCAAAACTACTGTGTTGTTGGTGTGGACTGTAATATAAAAAGGTGTTTCTGTGAAAAATGACCTGGGAGAACTGGGAGATCCTTTGTCAGGAGCCTTACATATATAAGCTTTAGCTGTACTTTAGTATTTTGTCAGCATTGTACAGTAGCTGAATAAACCTTTGTGAAGTTAGGCCTACATTGCACTACCTGCAGTAATTTTTACAGTGCCTTGCGAAAGTATTCGGCCCCCTTGAACTTTGCGACCTTTTGCCACATTTCAGGCTTCAAACATAAAGATATAAAACTGTAATTTTTTGTGAAGAATCAACAACAAGTGGGACACAATCATGAAGTGGAATGAAATTTATTGGATATTTCAAACTTTTTTAACAAATAAAAAACTGAATAATTGGGCGTGCAAAATTATTCAGCCCCTTTACTTTCAGTGCAGCAAACTCTCTCCAGAAGTTCAGTGAGGATCTCTGAATGATCCAATGTTGACCTAAATGACTAATGATGATAAATAGAATCCACCTGTGTGTAATCAAGTCTCCGTATAAATGCACCTGCACTGTGATAGTCTCAGAGGTCTGTTTAAAGCGCAGAGAGCATCATGAAGAACAAGGAACACACCAGGCAGGTCCGAGATACTGTTGTGGAGAAGTTTAAAGCCGGATTTGGATACAAAAAGATTTCCCAAGCTTTAAACATCCCAAGGAGCACTGTGCAAGCGATAATATTGAAATGGAAGGAGTATCAGACCACTGCAAATCTACCAAGACCTGGCCGTCCCTCTAAACTTTCAGCTCATACAAGGAGAAGACTGATCAGAGATGCAGCCAAGAGGCCCATGATCACTCTGGATGAACTGCAGAGATCTACAGCTGAGGTGGGAGACTCTGTCCATAGGACAACAATCAGTCGTATACTGCACAAATCTGGCCTTTATGGAAGAGTGGCAAGAAGAAAGCCATTTCTTAAAGATATCCATAAAAAGTGTCGTTTAAAGTTTGCCACAAGCCACCTGGGAGACACACCAAACATGTGGAAGAAGGTGCTCTGGTCAGATGAAACCAAAATCGAACTTTTTGGCAACAATGCAAAACGTTATGTTTGGCGTAAAAGCAACACAGCTCATCACCCTGAACACACCATCCCCACTGTCAAACATGGTGGTGGCAGCATCATGTTTTGGGCCTGCTTTTCTTCAGCAGGGACCGGGAAGATGGTTAAAATTGATGGGAAGATGGATGGAGCCAAATACAGGACCATTCTGGAAGGAAACCTGATGGAGTCTGCAAAAGACCTGAGACTGGGACGGAGATTTGTCTTCCAACAAGACAATGATCCAAAACATAAAGCAAAATCTACAATGGAATGGTTCACAACTAAACATATCCAGGTGTTAGAATGGCCAAGTCAAAGTCCAGACCTGAATCCAATCGAGAATCTGTGGAAAGAACTGACAACTGCTGTTCACAAACGCTCTCCATCCAACCTCACTGAGCTCGAGCTGTTTTGCAAGGAGGCATGGGCAAAAATTTCAGTCTCTCGATGTGCAAAACTGATAGAGACATACCCCAAGTGACTTACAGCTGTAATCGCAGCAAAAGGTGGCGCTACAACGTATTAACTTAAGGGGGTTGAATAATTTTGCACGCCCAATTTTTCAGTTTTTTTATTTGTTAAAAAAGTTTGACATATCCAATAAATTTCGTTCCACTTCATGATTGTGTCCCACTTGTTGTTGATTCTTCACAAAAAATTACAGTTTTATATCTTTATGTTTGAAGCCTGAAATGTGGCAAAAGGTCGCAAAGTTCAAGGGGGCCGAATACTTTCGCAAGGCACTGTACATCCAGGGGAATCCAAAGTTCGTTGTCCAAAAGAGAATGTCCGATAATCATACACCGTGGCAATCCGTAACAAGAGGGCGAGGCAGAATAGAATAGTCTGAGGTAACAGTCCGAGATCAGAAACACAAAATACCAAAACCGAAGTAAATGCGGGAAAGTCAGAGCTAGGGTCTAGAACAATCTGGCAGCGTCCTTGTGGGAGGACGCTGCCTAAATAGAGGTGAACACAGGTGCAGGTAATAACGAAGCAGGTGAAACTAATGTGAGTGATGAAGAACGTAAAAAGACCGAAACTAAGGTGAAACAAAAACAGGAAGTAATGTCAAAATAAAAGCCGGACAGGAAGCAGCGGAACCGAATCATGACAGTTAGATGTTGTTCACTATTCCCCAACACTAATAGTGTCATATACTGTAGGACATTACACCAAACAGGTACAGTCATGTAAAATTCAAAACATCATCTCTGCAACAATGATAAATATTTCTAACTAAAAACACTAGTTTATTCCTCTGTGATCTACCTTTTCTTAGCTATTCATCTTTATGTAGCTGCATATGCCTGAACTAAATTAGCATAGTAATCATCTCTGCTGTAACTAAAGACTGGATTCAAGGCAACAGTGTTAAAACAGGTAAGATGTGCATTAAAGTGGCCAGAGAATTTGATTCAAGTGTGTGAAACAACACTAAGAATGTTGTGGGCCTCTTACCAAAAGCTGTGCACTGCAGTTCTTCAAATGGATGACCAGGGAAGAGTCTAGGGCAGTGCACCCTGTAGTGAGGGGGGATGTGGGGTAGGGGGTGCTGTCCAAGCCTCTGGTCTGTGGTGACCTACACACATACAAGAGGGATTTTCAAGGGGCAACTGTGACTCAGGTCGTCCCTGTAGGGTTGGCAATTCAATCCCTGACTACATATTGAATGAGCATTGAATCCCTAATTGCTCCCAGTGACATCACTGGTGTGTAAATATATGGGTGTTCATGTGTGTGAATGCCTAATAGTGTAAAGTGCTTTGAGTGTGATTCACTGCATAGATAAATGCTCCAGGAAGATGGTGCCATGTATGGCTACCTTGATCATGTGCTGTCTGATGTGCTTGCTGTTTTTCCTCGTTTTCTCGGTCTTCTGCAACCCACCCCAAATTATCTTCACAAGAGAAGAGCTACTAAACATTAGACAGCTCACTCCAAACACCTTTTCTCAGAGTTCTGTTAATGCAAAAACAAAAAGCTGTGTAGACGTTTTGTCAGAAGGGCAGGCACCCTCTATGAGACCTAAAGGAAATGCAAGTGAGGGAAAAGAGAGGGGTACCCTGGTTAAGTTACGACAGAGAGGTCCCCGGACGGCGCTCCTGTCTATCCACCTGGCGAATTTCTGCCTGTGATCAAAACAGTGGAGAGATGGACTGATCAGGCAAAGTCAGAGCGACAGGCCTGTTTTGACTGCACAGACTGGAGTGTAATTGAGGCTGTGTCTACAGACCTGGATGAACTCAGTCACACTGTGACATTATACATCAGCTTTTGTGAAGACGTGTGTGTGCCCACCAAGACCTTCTGCAAATACAACAACAACAAGCCCTGGTTCACAGTAAGACTCAAGCGGCTTCGTTATGTCAATGAGGAGGCTTACAGAAGTGGGGACAGGACTCTGTACAGCCAGGCAAAGAGCACACTAACAAGGAAGATCAGAGCAGCAAAGAGGAGCTAGTCTGAAAAGCTGAGAGACCAGGTTTTAGCCAACAACGCCTCATCTGTGTCAAGAAGCCTGAAAAACATCACTGGCTTACAGGAGACCATCCCAAGAAACCCTCCATCAACAGTCTCAATGACTACAGACCTGTCACCCTGACATCTGTCGTTATGAGGTCCTTTGAGAGACTGGTGTTGGCCTATCTGAAGGGCATTGTAGACCCCTGATGGACCCACTCCAGGTCAGTGGATGATGCAGTTAACATGGCACTGCATTACATCCTGCAAAACCTTCACTCCCCAGGGACCTATGCACGGGCCCTCTTTGCGGACATCAGCTTGGCATTCAACACCATCATCCCAGACATCCTCCACTTCAAACTGACCCAGCTCACTGTGCCTACCCTGACCTGTCAGTGGATCACCAGCTTTCTGACAGACAGGAAGCAGCAGATGAGGCTGGGGAAAACCACATCCAGCACCCAAACTATCAGCACAGGCGCCCCCCTGGGATGTGTGTTCTCCCTGCTGCTGTTTTCCCTCTACACCAACGACTGCACCAACGATTGCTAATGTTAAATGTCTGACCATTTTCAAATTAAAAAGTGTTTCTAAACACCAGGCTGCTTTGATGTTTGAAGTAGATGAATCACCTGTTAAAATGGTCAAATTAAATGAAATTAAGGTGTCATTATTGATGATATATGATATATATATATGATCTAATATATTGGATTACAAATTGTATTTGTATCTTTTTTAGCAGATCAGGTATTGGCCTGGACTCACTTATCCAGCCAGAATGAATAAAACTCTTAGTTGGTATCAATATAAAACTCTAACTAAACCTTCCTAAACAATAGAAATACATTTTTAAAAGGATGACGAAGCATTAATATTTCTACCCATTGGTAAAAAAAAAAAGTGTAGCTCAAGGTTCAAACACATAATGTCCCAATCAAATTCATACAATGTGGTGTAGAGGAACAAAGAGCACAGGAATCAGATCTATACTTAATGGCCAAATTCTACCTTCAGGTATCAGGGTCTATAGAGGAAGAAATCCAGGGGGATAAGTTAGATAGATGGATAGATAAAAACTTTATGAATCCCCAAGGGGGGAAACTTGTTTGGTCACCATTTACACAACAGACTACAACACCATCAACAGATAGTCCTTCTGATTGTGATAGAAGTCAAAAATCCTTATAAAACAAACAATATATATCAATCACATGTTTCACAGCTGAAGGCACAAATGAAGCTCCTGTGCATTCTGTGGAACACCTTGGCATCCAAAACGACTCACTCATCACAGTTCTTAGATCATGAAAAACACAAAAATGTTTTAATGTGATCCACTTTAAAATGAGCCTGAAGCATAACAAAATGTGGAATACTTAAGGGGGTCTGAATACTTTTCATACTGACTGTATTTTCAAAGTGTGAGAATGGATACCATTGGGTCCAGCCTTATTAATCTTAAGACATCTTAACTGAAGGTGAACCTGATCCACAGTAACAGAAATCGAGGACACGTTGTTATGAAAGTTATGAAAACATATGATTTTCAAGACTCTTCAGATACTTACATACATACTTACATATTTACACAGCTGCAAATATGTGTTTTGTCAATGAAACAATGTCTGCACTGCAGTGATGATACCAGACGAGTCCAATAGGTGGCAGCAACATACCACAACACAATGGCTGGTTTTCTGCTTTTATATCAATTTATCTATTATATTATATTATGTGTCCTAAGTCAATTATTGTGTGATTTGATGTTAAATGTGCAATATTGGTTAAGGCTAAGAATTTGGTTGGGCTTAAGTGTTTTCACCACACAGTTCACTTGTCAGCACTGACCTGCTATTTCTACTCCTCTTGTCACCATTTTCATCCTCTTCCTCTTCCCAGTCAGATGTGTTGAGGAAGTCAAAGCTGCCCAGAGCTGTTTCCACTGTAAGGCTAACCACACTGGGAGAACGGCTGTGTCTGCCAACCTACACACACATACATACACAGAATAGTCAGAGCAGGGGCTTGCAGTGCATGCGTGCATGTATACAGGCAATGGATAGTGAATAGAACACATACTCACACACAATCACACAAGAGAAAAACACACAGTTAGATGATACAATGATGGTTCAACCTTAACTCAAGCACTGATAGCACAGCCACACAGCAGCACACACCAGCTGCATGTTGTAGATTTAAAAAAAGCACAAAATATAGTTATTACAGTATAACCATATATAAGGATATATGGATATACTGTACATATATATAGAGCACTAGAGCACTTAATAACCACTGTAAGTATTGCAGCTGACAACTAGGGATAGACCAAGTGATGGCCTTAAAAGACAGTTGAAAGAAAGAGTTTTTATTGATACTTCCTGTGTCATTTTGAGAATATACTTGTTGTGGACTGTCATATAAAAATATGCTTCTTTGAAAAATAGCCTCATAAAAACAATTTGTGAGCTTCTTTGTCAGGTAGCTTAATCAAATAAATGTGGATTTCAGTCATCATTCACCTAATCTGACTGTAGTCATTACAGTACCTTAAACATTATTATTATTATTTATTATTATTATTAAACATGTCAAATGACAAGCAGTCCAATCAAATTTGCAGAAAAAGTAGCAGTTACAGTCTGGTGGGGCTGACCTTTGTAATGCAATGACTGCCACCACATAGTTTTATACATAGTGAATAGCCTACTAAAGACATAGTCTCTGTGTGAACAGATAATTTCATAGGTATCTGCATGAATATATTATATTATATCTAAATGTATACATACACATAAATAAATTATGTGCTACTGTGTAGGTTTCAATAAATAACTGAGGCAATGGTACCCTCTACCGTTATAGTTCTCTCCAACAACCCCTCATCCTACAGCAGACAGCCAAAACACAACACAGGCAGCTTGAGGCAAAGTGACTAGCAGCAGAGGTCCCAGGTCAACCCCGAGACGTACGCACCACCTACCTTGGCTAACCTGTGGGCGCAGGCTTTCCCAGCGATCACATACTGTATCTGTAGTAAGAGTTTTCTCTTTCATTAACAAATATAAAAAGTATGTACATTTACTATTTACTAGTATATTCATGTTTGTTCAGATGAAGGTATTTCAACACAATACTGGGATTCCTGCAGCTGTGTAAAATGTGCACAGGAGTGCTTTTTAAAGTTCAATGTAAAATGGCTTAAATCAAAAAAGCCACTTTGAAGGAGGTTCAAAATACTGGCAGCTCACTGTATCATCTCTGTATAAAAGGGGTTTCCAAAATCAACATCAAAGCAAAGGTCTGAGCAGGCTGATATAGATAGAGCTAGATAAGGTAGGTATTAACAGCTGGGCTATTAAGCAGGCCATGGCATTCTAATACAACTCCCACATTCATATGAAACTGGAGCCCTGCCATGTTGACATAGCCCAAGCAAATACAATGTTGATACAAAGCTGGGTCAAGCCTCTCAGTATTTACTCTTTGCTTGGTTGAGGGCATAAGTTAAAAGCAGCTCTAAAAGTATGTAAGTATGGTTAGGTTAGAAAATAGACCTACATATCAAAGGGCCCTGCAAATTTATGATAGCATGGCCTGATATCCACTGCCAGGCCCAGTGATAGGTAAAAGAATCATTTAACATGAATATGGGCTTCAAGAGTCTTACTCAACTTTATAGACACACACCTGTGATTTAAAAAATGTTCTCATTCTCTCACTCATGCTCCTTCCTCACCTTTAATGTAGCTTGCAGCAAATTAAGCTCTTGTTCTAGTATTTGTAACTCAGGAAACTGTCCTCTGTAATCATCCAGAGAGGAAACCAAAGCTCCCAGGGCATCCTCCAGCCTGCTGTCCACTGGACCATCACCCTCTTTGGACAGACGATCTGCATCTGGACCTGGCATCTCCCCCACCACTGGCACCCGCTGGGCTACATATGTCCCATCCACACTTTCTGGCAGTGTGTTGCACTCTAGGTCTGGGTGTGTGTTGATTTTTGTTTGAGTGTTAGGGTCCATTTCTTCTGTCCGTGTAGAGAGGGGTATGGGGACAGAGCTGGATGAATCTTGTTGTTTCCCAGCTTGGTGCTGATTTATGACATCATCAGATATTGTGTTTCCTTTAATGACACAGAGTCTCCTTGATGACACATTAATCTCTGTAGCAGCAGAGTTGGGTGGATCAGGAGTTCTGCTGGGTATGGCCATTTTAGTGTCATTGATGGGAATACTGGAGGCTAAAGACATCACCTCTTTTGATTCACTGACTGATCTGTCAATCAGTACAGTGCCATCAATGCTGCTTTCACTAATGTGGCTCAGAGTGCGCAAATAGTAGCTGCGTGAGGTGTGACTGTTGGCCACCGCCCCATTCCCTGTTGCAATGGGAGACTGTTTCCCTTCATCCTCACTGTCTGGCTTTGTCATCACAGTGACTGCCTCATTCTCCTCTTCCCTGTAAATTAGTTCATGTACCAATTATTGTAATTATTGATAAACCACATTACATGCCAATCATGCAAACTTATCCCTATACTCATGTCAGAATGTTACAAGTAACCATTCAGCAAATATGGTTTGCAAAATATTTTAACTTCTTAGAAAATATAATATTTAAAAAAAAGGTTTGCAAACTAAAATCAAACACTACCTGTTGTTCTCTGCTTGGTGTTTTTGTGTGTTGGGAACCTCACTGATAGCGTTGACTTTGATGGCGAAGTCTGGATTTGAGAAGGAAGAGTCTCTGAGGCAAAATGAGATGTTGGGCTGTGAGGAGGTACTTCTTGTTACAACTGGCTGAATTTCTGGTGTCATCACGACTGACTGAAAAATGAAAAACACATGGACACACTAAGTGAACGGAAGAGTCAAACCCAACACACAAACACCATAGTAAAGAAACACCTCTAGTCAGTTCAAGTCAAAAAGATTAAAGGCACTGTTAGTCTGATACTGGGTATTAGCATCTATAAAATATAGGTAAATTACTGCAAAGGTAATACATAGATCTGCCCCCAAAACATCAATGAAAATCACCATTTGAGGAGCTGTGGTATTCTGTTTGATTTGTACTCACAGCAACACACTGTAATACACAATAAACTGAGATGATGAGTTAAACCTGCTGTTCATGCTACAGTAAAAAGAGGGCACACCTGTAACGTGCTGCATTAGCAATTGTTACTGCGTGTTTGAAAGAGAACGTAATGCTTCAGGAGATAAAAAGAAGCAAGACATGCTGCATGATTCCTGAGAAATCCCAGGAGCTGCTACAAGTGGTGTGGAATCTATCAAATGTAAAGATGCTATCTGTGTTTATCTTTTTGCCAGGAGTTGTATCATTCCAGAGATCTGAGTATTGATTGATTTAGTTTTTGGACCACTCTAAATCTCTGGCTGTTTTTATTTATTTTTGAAGCAACCTTTGATGAAGACCTGGCAAGCCAACATTCTATGTCCACAGCATAGATGAGAGAATTCATTCTGCTTTATCATTATACCTGACATGGCAGCATCCTTCTGAAACAAAGAAGATTCAGATTTCACTCAAACACTACCTGGGTAGCAGCAACACACACTGTATATTAATTAAACACATTTTCTAAAGGATGACTCAGAACTGAATTGTTGACTGAGCCCACAAACAAACTGTCCACAAAACACAAAAAGACTAAAAGGACATTTCCCTTTTTGTTTGTGTGGTGATAGCTCAGTCATGCTCTGGTGGCCTCACAGTGAGGATAAGGATAATCACCTTTATTTGGCCAACTATGTAAGGAATTTGTTTCCGGTACAGAACCAGACTCCTTTCTCCCTCTATCTGTCGCTTTGTGGTCACCTCCTGGTTAATGTGGCTGTGAGTCCTTGTTCATGATTAACATGTAGTTAGGATCCATGATGAGCACAGACCTCAGACTTGGCTATCAGCAGGTAAGACAGTTCAGCTTGCTCGGAGAGAGCTGGCATCTTGTTGCCTCTGCTGCATCAATAGCCTGGTGTGGTCAGATACCAAATAACCACTGGAACATATTGCTTGCAGTTGCCAACTAACACATACAGACTACGTCGGCTAATTCCAACAGTTTTCTTTACTACATAATATGACTGTCAGACACCGAAATACCACTGGAGTGTAGTGCTTGCAGTTTTCAGCTTACGCACACAGTGGTATGGCCAGTTCATCTTTTTCACATCCCATGTGTCCATGACGGTCCGCTGATGTAAATTTTGTCATTGTCCCAGGTCCCCGAGATTCCCACTGTATTCCAGTGGGTCAAGAGAGGTGCCACCTCAGCTTCAATGTTCCAAGGAGTTGCCTGACTGTTCCTGTGGGTCATGACAGATGCAACAGAGTTGGATCATCACTGCCTCAGCCAAAGCCCCTTAGGTGGTCCTAACCTTGCCGGTTCCACTCAGTGCAGAGAGATTTCGCCACAGATGCCAGCCACCTGTCCATGCTCCTGAGGGGCTCTGCCACCAATGCTGACCTCCTGTCTGCCCTTCCAGCCTTCCTCCAAGGGGATCCTGCCTTCGCCTTTGGCTCCATCTTCCTGCTCGGCTCTGTGGCCATCCTCCAGAGGGGTCTCAGCTCTCTGCCTGCTTTGGTGGGCATTCCTTTAAACTGTGGACTTTTTTGACTGTCATTATTTCTGTTTTTGTTGCCCTCCTCCTGATCCCCTGCCACCCTTGGACTTGAGGTGATGTCAAGTCCACTCGGTGCGACCTGCCTCTCTTCCCCTTTCTATCTCCATCCTCTCGTCATGCAGGCTTGGCAACACAGCTGAGGCGCATCACCTCTATCAGCAGCTCACTGGGTGTGGTGCACAGCTGAGGCTCATCCCCACTGATTAAGGGGAACCTACTTAACGCGCTGGCAGACGCTCCATCTTCACCAGATCATTGTCACTGTAACGGTGATGCTAACGGTGAGATTTTTTTTTTTTTTTTGATGTGGCCACACAAGTTGGAATCTGTTTTATGTTTTGATGCGGCCACATAAGTTGGCGATCCTCCTTGTTCCTGCTGCTCATCTGTTATCTCACCTGCTGTCAGCTCACCTTCCCATTCTCTGGTCACTGCTGTTCACCTGTCTACTCACCTGTCATCCTGGTTCCTGCTGCTCACCTGTCTACTCACCTGTCATCCTGGTTCCTGCTGCTCGCCTGTCTACTCACCTGTCATCCTGGTCCACTGATCCTCCTGGTTCCTGCTGCTCGGCTGTCTACTCATCTTCCCGTCCTCTGATTCCTGCCATTCTCCTGTCTACTCACCTGGTCCCGTGATCCTCCTGGTTCCTACTGCTTGTCTTCCTGCTCACCTGCCTGTCCCGGTCTTCTCAGCCTCCACAGCTCAACACTGGTTTGGACCACGCCTAACCCACTGACTTTGTCCACTTATCATTTCTGTATATTGCAATAAAGAGACATATTTACTAGCAACTGAGGTTGCACTTTGAGTCCTTATTCTCTCTCACCACGTGGTGAGGGACCCCACCGTAACATGTGGTTTGTTTTGGTATGTCTGGCAGCCATCCTTGGAGGGGTACTGTCATGGTTTGGGCCTACTTCCTGTTCTGTACTTTTATTTTGAAAGCATTTCCTGTTGTTCCACATCATTTCACCTGCCTCAGCTTCACTCTGGCCAGAGACTCTCCTGCCAATTCCCATGTCCTCCACATGGACTCGGTCCCCATCCATTAGGTCTGAACGTCACACCATTTTGTTTGCTTCTGTTTCTCTTGCCTGTTCCTCATTGATGGTTTTTTTTTAACGTTTAATGGACTTAGAGTCTTATCCCCTCAGGTATTTGGTTTGTTACTTTTATTATTTCCAATAGTTTGTTAGTCTCACTACTGGAGTTCTAGATTTATTTGAATTGCTCCCAGACTGTAGGTTTTAGTATTTTGTTATGAGCCTTTGTGTTACACTAAGTCAGTTTAAGTTTTGAGTTGGGGGTTCTATGTATTTTAGCCTTTTGGTTTCCGATGACTGTTCTGATTAAACCTGAGATTATTGTCAAGCAAAAGTTCATGTCTGCATTTGGGTCCTCCCCTAGCCAGAATCCTGACAGTTCAGGTCTGTGGGACCTGTTTTCATTGCTTACTAAGAAACAATGATGTGATTGTTTTTTCAAACTCACCTGCCTTTGCTCATTTTCTATGAAGAATATATAAAATGACACATTTTCAGAGTGCTCACCATGCAAACCTCTACGCATTTATGTTACATACTGTATGTGGTGAGGGTAATACCTCTGTGTGTACCTTTATTTTTTGCTGCCGAGGGAAGACATTTTTGGAAAGTGAGGACATTTTGGCAGGTCCTCACTTTCTGAAACACTTTTTTGAGGGTAAGACTTGGTTTGTGTGTGTTTGTTTTATATGTGTGCATGTGTGTTTTGTCATGTTTGCACTTTTTCAGCATTATAGATTGTGGCCAGTAGCAACAACAAGAGCATGTGATTACATTGTAAAGTTCTCTGAGTTAAGACATTATATGTGCAACAATCTATCAGTGATTCCATGACAGCATAAGTACTTTATATGTAACCCATGAGGTGAAGCCTGAAAATTCTTAAGGGGATATTTACTATGGTTTTGCCTCTCATTTTGTGGTACTAAACTGAAATTTATCTTTACTAAGGAGTCACAGTGCAGTTTTGTGGTGGAAAAATAGAAGAATGGGGCACCACAGGAATTTGTGCATTTGGTCTCATACAATATGGATTCCTATTCAGGCAGAATCAAATCACAGAGCTAGGGAACAGAGATTGAGTATAACTGATGATTGGACCAAGGAGTAAGGAATCTTATGCTGGCAATGCTCAAAGCTGCCTGCACTCTCTTTTGTCAGCCTGAATCCAGTGAGAGTAAGCAACCTACTCCGTAGGTTCAGAGGGAAGGTAAGTGTGATCAAGTCTTAATCTTTCTTACAATTATACGATTTCTTTTACACCATACAACCTACCTTCTATATTCTGTAAACTTCGACTCTCTTTGAGACTTCCTCTCAGTCCACACATGTGCAGCAGTCTTCAGGCAGCAGAAGCAGAAGTGTATTCCAATTAACACAGGTGTGTCTGGGCTCATTTACATCATCAGTGTTTGTAAATATGCTGCTAAATAAAAGAAATTTGTGGAGCTGCAATATGTTCTACACCTGATGGTAATTTGCAACAGGTTTAGTAAATATCCCACTTAGACTCAAAAGAAATATCCATGTACCGTGACCACAGGGAGCTCTTTCCCATACATATGGAATATGTGAGAGAATGGTAAAATAATCTCTTCACTCAAAGAACTAAGGTTACAATGCAAGTGTTCAGTCTCTGAGAGGACAGTGTTGAATGTTTGCATGTTTTCAAAACTGAAAGCAGATTTCAGAAACACTGAGAAGAACTGAGCAAAATGTTCTGACATTAAAATGTTATTTCTAAATGTCTGAATCATAGTTTTCAGTTTTAAAACCATAATTTACATGTTCAACATTTATTTTGAACCATTTAAATCCTAGGTTCTATGTTATAAGAAGAAAGTGACAGAATGATAAAATGATGATTGCAGCATCAGGAGAATACTGATTATAAATAACATACAGTGTTGGTTGTATGTTACCTTATGAGTTGCAGAGGTGCGTAGCCCTCCTACATTCAGCCGAGGACTAGACGAGTCATCAGAAGATTCAGATGAATTAGACCATGCTGTTCTATTCTCTAACTCCTCGTGCTGGCGGAGCATGTTCTAAAAGAGAGAAACTGTGCTTTAAAGGTTGGACTGATGACAAAGGAGTTGGATGTGGTGAAAATACATAGAACTTTGATTAAGAAGAGGTGCACACATTCTGATGCCTAATGACAATACCACAATAGTGTCGTCCAGATACAAAAGGTTGTTTCAGGAGGCAAGTCACTCTAGAGGAATATACAATATATATGCTGGAACATTTTCTGAAACTAAACAACTGTTTATCCATTCACATGTTATTTAAATAGAGTAGCTTGACATGCAGTGCATGCTGCGGAATACATTTGGTGAGTTTTGGCTTTGGTCTCTGTGATGAGATGTGGCCAGCCTCCACTTCCCACAAGTGACACCAAACTCCATGAAGCTAGTATGGTACTCCATCCCCATGAGTACAGAAAAACAAGTCCACACCACCGTAAGACTAATACTGATTGTGAAACCAAAGTGAAAATTGTTTAGCTATTTCTTTAAAGTATAGGTTCACAATTTTTCAAGTCAATCTTAGAACTTATTGCTTATTTGGAGAGTTTTACCCTGCAATTCCATTAGGTTTTCCAATATTTTAAAAAACGCTGGAGACAAAAGAGAAATCTAAAAACTTCCCTTCTGCATCCAGGCCATACGTTTGAAAAGATATGCTAAAATAAGCCTCTGTTGTTTTTTTTTTTTTTTTTTAACTTTTTTCAAATTGGATGAATTTTCTAATTATCATCTCAGACGTGACCTAAAGCTAAAAAAAATAAGGTGTACATGGCCTATGCAGAAGCAACTTGGTTTATACAAGTATGGCAAACTCTTGCTCACAAGGCTTCTTTTCTAACAAAATAAAGTATTATGTGATAGTGTAAGGGTTTCCTTGAATGGTCATAATCTCTAGGCCATTGTGATTTCATGTGAGCTTGCCTGACATCAACCGGTGCCGTTGTAAAGGCGGAATTTTTCAACTGTGCCTGGTTTTGTGGATATATTTTACCTCCTACTGCTGCACTGTGAGCAGAGGATGTGGAGAAAAATACAGGGCCTGTGGTTACTGCATGTCCGGGAATGTTCCTGTACAGGAACTCACTGTTTTACCTGACCAGGTCTAACCTACAAGCAGCCGGCCAGTGAAGCCCCCCGCGGTGGTGACTGCTCCGAAGCACAGTACCTGTTTGTTTTGACTGCTTGAGGCCAGTGTGTCTGCTGCATGTGATGTGTTACTGGTTAATGAGCGGATTAATAGTCCATGATGTTATTGTTGGTGCTATGCTACCTGTTGGAATTAATTTCACTACTGTTGGACTGTATGTGGTCGTGTGGGGGAAAACGCTGTGACCAGTTGTATTTACTGACTGTAGAGCTACTTGAAAGGGAGTGATATTTCCACTACTCAGTGCGACTTAATGGTAAATTTTAAAAAAAACAGGCGGAAAAAAAAAGCCCATGTTCAACCAACTGCTCGCTAGATTTACATCTTTGAAGGCATTGTGTAGCATTTACAATCCGCATGGGCCGATGTTGATAAGAGACTTCCCAGCGTCCTTCTGCACATCCTTCTGGAGTAGTTCCAACACTTTCCAATTAACATTTGGTCCATCCATTGAGATTTGAACTAGGTTCAGGATTCTAATCTCTGAGTGCAGGTCCATCATTTTCTGAGCTGTTGAATGACCCATAAAATTTGAGCTGATGCATTTTGTTTTCACCTCTGTGCCATCTCATAGCTTGACGTGCATGTCTGGCTGGTAAAATGGTGGTTCAGGCTTTCATTAAATAACAGGACATATGCTGTTTGCTTTGACACTTTGGACAAAGTCAGTTTCTTAAAGTAAGGAGTCCAAGTGTACATAAATATGAGCATTTGTGTTCACCACATGCAAATTTGCCTGCTTTCTGGCTGTCAGGGAGCATTAACTTGGAAAAGCTGTCTAGTATCTTCACTAGACTTGTTAAGCACCCACAATACCTCTGCAGTTAACGCTACATGTATACAGTATCTGAGATGGCTGTTTACTTGGTGGTGGTTGAGAGGCCACTGGATTTGGCAGTGGGTATCTTCACGTTACTATACAGTGTACATGTCCTGGGTCTTGGAACATACATGGATTAACAAGTCAGCCGGATAATTTGGTTGACAATTTCACGTTATCTCGGATTTGTTGGTTCTTCGTCATGGCAACATGTCCATAATCTCAAATCTACTTGGAAGCAGTAAACAAAATAACTTCACAGATTTAAAAGGTCTCGGAGCATGAAGTGACTCACTAACAGAGTGATTATAATAAGACATGATTTTAAAGAAAACAGACAGTATTGAGATCGACAAAACCCTTTGGTCCATCCCAAACCGTTCTTAATCAAATGGTTCCATTTCAGCTGGGATTACATAGTTTATTGATGTGGACTGTTGGTGCCTTATTAAGGGCAGACAAAGAGGAGCTGTGCTTTATCCACCACACAGTCAGTTTGCATTTACCTGAGATTTCTGGCTAGAGAGTTTTTTATATAGGGTTGTTGTGATTTTATTCATTTCTATCTAAAAATAAAAATCACCCTAACATTGTTAATGCAGAAAATTTGATAAAGAAAGCCCTTTTTGAGCTATTTGAAAAGTTTACCTGGCTCTGAAACTATTCCTGTGAGTTTTCATAGTCCTTTAGAAACAAAGGGAATTAATAGATCTAAATCTTATTACGTTTTTTTTTTTTTACATCTTACAATTTCTCCATATCTGTGGCCAAGTTTTCAGTAATTTAGTATACAGGCTAGAGTCGCTTCAGAAAGGATTCCCACTTCTGACATGACTGTATCTATGTGGAATTCATAACAGTTGAGTGCTGGACATATTTTAACAACTGCCTGAACTAATGTCAGGAGATGATGGGAACAGTAAGACAGTTTAACTGAGAAGAAACTGATCGAGTGGAATTACGGTCCCAGATCTGCAGTGCCTGTAGTATAGTTACACTCATATGTCATATAATGTTAGACATATTTCTGGTGGCATATTTAAATTTTGTGGATTTCAGTTCTCTGCTTATTAGTGCCCAAAGGGGATGATGTAAACTGTTATGTCTGTTACTGTGACGCACGCTTGAAACCATTGTTTACGAAGGTTTATAATAATACAGTTGTGCCCGCCCACTGAAACCGAGTGGCCCGGCTGCATGTAGCGACAGGTCTGATCAAATTCCCACAACCTTTCCAAAACTTTTGTATTAATTTTTTCCCCAATGTATTGTCATATTCCACAACTTTTTCAGGTTTTTCAGGACCATACAAACCCTGTACCAGGAATTACAGTCTAACATTAGAACAGAGGTAAAAGAGCGAGAACTAAAATACAGAAGAACTCACATAGAAGGCTTGTTCACGTAAAGATGGTGTGTCAGGTGGGCTCTGGTTGAAGATGGCTGAGAATCTCTTATTGACAGGTGGAGCTTTGTTGACAGAGCTTGCCACTGACCCCTGGTCATCTTTATCAAATGGACTGACATAGAAGAAAAAGAAAAGGAGGAAAGAAGAGAATAAATAAATATACATTCCATACAACATTTAAGCAGTGCTTTCACTAGTAACACTTCTGAGTGGTGCCCAAACATGGCAAAATCTTTGTCGCCATGGCAAAATAAAATCAATCCAACTGTTCAATCAAGAGCGTCACGGACTTGCTCAGGAAGCCGTAATACAACACAGTGAGTCACATACACAGGTGCAGTTAAGGCAAATTCAGACGGAGTGTGTTTTTGGATGCATTTTTCACACAACAGATAGAACTCCATTCTATGAAATGTCTCCCTGACATGCATGAGCCGTGCACGGCCTAACATCACCAGTTTTATGATTCAGATCTATTTTCTGTGGCACACTGAGTGTAGCATAATGGCCACCGACTGCTGTTCAAATCACCCAAGTCCCCAGTTATTTTCTGTTTTTACTGGTATCTGTTATGATTACATGCACAAGGCCTATATGAAAACTACTGTTGCCCAGCACATTTCTGCTGTCAGTCAGCCTGGTGAAGACTTTTACTGTCTGTTGTCCTTGCAGCTCATCAGGATCAGAGTCTTGTGAAAGCATTAGTGAAAATAACCAGCGTATAGCCAATTATTAAGAGTTTGTTCACCTCAATAGAGAGAACATGGATTAGGGATGGAAGACAGAGTTCAGAGAACACCCCCACCTACCAGGGGACATTGCCACTACACCAAACCTCTTGGTTCACAGGAAACACTGTGTGTGATGTTCTGTTAACATTACATCACATTACAAGTTTTCCAGATTCTGAGACATTTTCTGAAATAAAACCATTCTCTCAAAACTACATGCACATTGTCAAAATAACACGCATCAATACAGCCATTTAATTTCCAGGTCAAAATCAGACACCCCACACAAGTCAAAAATACACATTACATGCCTGTTGGACACACTACAGAGGTTATTTTAAAACACTTCTATCAAAACCCCTTTAAATTGCTATTTTTGGCCAGCTTATGTTATTTTGAAAATTGTACCATTGTGGTAGTAACTATACCGACTACCCCTACAGGAGTACACTCTCAAGAGACATTAAAAACAGTTGGCAACTGGACTTGCTTGAAGTTCTTGAAAATATTTCACCTCTCATCCAAGAAGGTTCTCAGTTTTGACTGGGGGGAGTATGAAGAAAATTAAAAATCCACTCGCTCCATCCATCCGCTCGAAAATGTGTTTTCTCTTATTTTTTTTATCCCATAAATATCAGCCGCTGTGTAAAGATGACAGGGCCTGAAATAATCCCTCTGATCGCACAACTTTTCTAAACTGGTTTACTTTTACTTACTATTACAATGTGTTCACCACTGTGGACAATAAATTTAAGCATTAAAATGACAAACTCCAACCCATATTAATCCAATACAGGCAGAGTGTTTTGACTGTATTGATCCAACAGTTATAAGGAGCATTTTATTTATTGAAATAGATGATCCTGTGTTATAAGGGACAGGTGGAGACTGTGTTGTGTTCTTTTAATGCTGGAAGAAAATTGTGGTGTTGCCTCACATTGTCGCTACCTTAGCCAGACATGTTCAGCACTTTCCTGCCATGCAACCTGTGGTCTAAAACCAAAATAGGTCCAGAGGACTGACTTACAGTACTTGCTCAAATCAAAATAATTTGTAATATACAGACAGCATGGCTGGCAAAACTTACTTCCAGATGAATTCAAGGCTCAGCTTAATAGTCCCGAGGTCATTAATATCCACAGCAACTGTCTGAGGTTGTGCAGCAAACAGGTCCTTAGTCTCACAGGAAACACTTCCAACAACTATGTGACTGGCTAAGCTCTTCAGCTCTGTCACCTAGGAGACCACAGAAAACCACATTAGTCAGAACATACTAATAAATTAATTCCTCTCGTATTTTTGATCAGTGTGCCTACAGTTGTCTTTTCTTCATATCCACCAGAACAAGACACAATGGACAACATGAAGCACCCATGGACAATTTAGTTTCATTAGGAGCAGTACCCTAGATCAGAATGTTTTCATTGAATAATCAGAACAAATATAAATAAAAACCAAAGTATTTGAAAAAATAGTACTGGGAGGGACGAACCTTTACAGAGAGAAACTCATTGATGAGCGGAAGAAACACCGCCTCTTCACTGTCCCACACCTGTTTAGCATTGATCTCTATTCGGCCTCGGAGCTTCCAACGCTGCCGACCATACTTCATAACAATCTGAAAACACACACACATACACGTCTTTATGCCTTTGTATGGCCCACGTTCTGTGACTTCTTTGTGAGGGCCACCACTTCTACTATAACTACAATGGTGCAAAACACAATCAATCATGAGGTGGCAATAAAGAATCAAAATGTCACTTGGGGTGGGGGTGGGTTGGGGGGGTCAGTGTGAGGGCCCAGAGATGATAAGAGCCTGGCTGGAGATGTTGTCCTGTTTGGGACTAAGAAAAATTAATGACCTGTGGTCCTGGTACTCAATATTGGGACTTAGAAAAATTTCTGTTCCCACACAGTGTAATACCAGAGACATGAAACTCCATTTGGAGTACCAGGGGCACGAAGTTGTGGCTGGGGGGTTTTAAATTGTTTAGCCCATTGGAGCATTTTGTTTGGCATGTGTGCTTTGCTGGCACTTGTTCAAAATAAAGGACTGATTTGAGAAAACCTGAGATCTTGTTCGAGTTTGTCTCCTACATGCCTGGCCGCTGAGAGCCAACTTACCACAAATGACTTTGTATATGATCTGCAAACATTTGATTTTGCAAGAAGAGTCAGAGGTTTTGTGAACCTAGTTTGAAAAATGAGTTTTGTGTTTACAGCTTCAAGAAAAGGATGGAAGGCTTCAAGGAATGTGTCTTAGTAACTGTGAAAAACTGTAATTATAGAACCCATTCTGCTCTGCTGTTGGGAAGTGTAGGGACCACAGACAAATCTAACTTTTGATCAATGGGGATAGCATCCAAGTGAAAATCCACAAACTGAGTACTGTAAAAACATAATGCAGATGCACAGGACAGCAACTAATAATGCCTACAGAGCTGAATCAAAGATATTTCCTTTATTATAGTTCACATTCAGTTTGCACTACATCAAAAAAAGGAAAACAGTGCAGGACATGGAGCTCCAGCCCTAAATTTACTGCATAATTTAGGGCTGCCCCTGAAAGTTGACTAATCAAGACATTAGTCGAGAGGTCCGTTAGTTGTTATTTTATTTTTTGTCAGCCAATGAAAACAGCCACAGCAGTCAGTAAAAACAAACGTCGATGGCCAAGAGAAAACCCTAGTGTCAAAGCAGTATGTCGGTCTTGCACAGCAGAATCAGGCAACAGTGTGAAGCCACCATCAGGACACCGCAAACAAAATACGATGACAAAGGATGACACTTTGAATGCCTACATCTGTAAAAGCTGTGAGGGCAAAGGCTAAAGTCAGGCTTTGTTTTCAGCACAGCCTGCTGGGGTTCTGAGTGACTGTTACCTCCCTCACCTCTGTCTCCCTCCACTAACTACATAAGTTTGGTCCCATGGCTCTGCCATCCAGTTAGCATTTGCACCATTATCATCCTTAAACACTGAGGCAGCAGCAGTGACTGTTGTTACATGAATAACTTTTTTAAAAATTGGCATCCAGGACAAACACTGGTCAAATTTTACAGTATAAGATGCAGGCAGAATGAAGCTAGTCTGAGACCATTTAGTAGGTTGATGCTGTACAGCTTAGTTTTCTGCTATGGTGCCAACAGGAACTCTGATACACTACTCAAAGTCTGATGAGCTCAGATCTGCAGAATTTTGTGAACAAAGGTAGAAACTCAAAGACAAGGGGTAATAGGATCTTTGCACTCACACATTTTGGTCTCCACAACCTCTTTTGGTGGTAATGATAACCACTAATGATAATAATAATACAAAACTGAGAGAAAACAATAGGGTTCCAACACTGTTGGTCCTTGGGCCCCGTTCAGCCTCAGTATCAAATCTTTGTGCTGGGCCAGCCCAGAGGACACATACTGTCCTCCTCTGTTTCATTGGGAGGTGCAAGAACGGGCCAACATGTTGCATCCTGTTTGAGCACTATGACTGTACATGAATGCAACACAAAGTTTTAGATGCTCAGAAGAGTTGTTTATCTGTTGCAGTGGAAAAGATAAGGAGCAGGCACTGTCTAAATGCTCTCCCACTGGGTGGTTGAGGCTATTAAGCAGGTTTATGAAGCCGTTGGTAAACCTGTCCTTGGAGATGTCATTTCCCATTTCACCTGGAGGACCGCCATGTCCTGGGCAGCAATGAGGGAAGTACCGTGATCAGAGATCTGTGCTGCAGCGTCCTGAGTGGTGCCATGCACTTTTTACAGGTTTTCTTGCCTCAGTGTGACACTGGAGTCTACACTGGCATCAGCCATCCTCCCATTGGCTTCTATGGCTGACCAGTAGGTGAGTGTCCATTCCTCTTGACATTGCTGACATAAGTCATCCACTTTGTTTAAAACCACTGGAAGTCAGGGAGGAATGGAACTGAATTGAGTTTACAAAGTTAACTATGGTTCTGTGAATTTCTGGATGACTGCCAGCCATGCTGGTCACTCACAACTTTGGGGCTGAAAAGATTCCAAGAGGCCAAAGGCAGTCTACCATGTCAGATTTATAGTTGGGATGTGCACGTAGCTTACACTGTCATGCACACAACTTTGTCTACATTAGATTTCAACCTGCGCAGAGCATAAGGAGACATATCTACTTAGTTTACTGCCACTCGCAGTCATCCGTTACATCCACAGTTATGTTTGCAACTTCCATTTTGGCAGTTGATAGTTTTGTTTTGAGAATTAGGTTTAGTGTTTAAGAAATTCACAAAAAATATTTAAAAAAATCCTAAAATGATCAAGTAGATTTTGAGAGAGAGAAGCGGACTAACCTCATAGTGGTCACCAGAGCACAATCTAGCAAATCCAGCCAGACCTGAAAGACAAATAAAAACAAATGTAGCCCATCAGCTCCTCATGAATGCAGCACCAGATTAATTGTGATATTACAACACACAATAAAATGAATAGTAGGATAAAATTCAAAGGTAATTAGCCCTGCAGACAGATATACTCAGGTCCTTGTACTGATACAGTGTGATCTGCACCAAAGTTTGTATGAAAATACTGGAGCACATAAAGGGTGTTCCTGCCTAATTTTGGGAAACTACTAATAAAACACTTACTATGCGCCTTTTATCACATTTGATATGGTAAGTCACAAGAATGTGTGTGCCAAATTGATGTCACTTATTTTTTTTACAAGGACACAGAAGCCTAGGATTTGACATATTATATAAAAATAAGAAAGAAAGTCACTGTTGCCTTTTCCCGTTTAGGGGTCGCCACAGTGAACTGTCACACTGACGACTCGCATGTTGACATTTGGCACGTGTTTTACGCTGGATGCCCTTCTTGATGCAACCTGGATTCAAACCCGGGGTGCCACGGCGAGAGCGCTGCGCCTTAACCACTAGCCTACCAGGGATGGCAACATATTACATAAAAATGCAAAACCAAAAAAAAGTATAAAAACTTTTTGTAGTTGGAAAGTCTTATCTAAATATAAATTGATATAAAATACCATCTATTATCTATATTGCTTATTCTTGAATAGGGTCACGGGGGCTGGAGCGAATCCCAGCTGACACTGGGTGAGAGGCGGTGTCCACCGTGATACGTAGACAAACAACCACACACACTCCTACTGTACAGGCAATTTAGAGTCTCCAGTCAACCTAAGCTGCATGTCTTTGGACTGTGGGCACAATAAATGATTCATAATAAATTCCAACAGGGTTAATTTTCAGGTGGTGTGGCCATTAAAATGCATCTGGGTTCCTGATCTCGTGCTTTCAGCCCAGTGCTTATAAAAAAAACTACAAATGCACCTGTGATTGTGAGAGGTGGTGGCCTGAGCAGGTGTTATTGTTACCCTTATTTTGGGTCAAAACAAGAACCAAGAAGAAGAAAGGAGAAAGTGTAAATTTGCCAGCAATGTTTCATGCTTACCTTTCATCTTAATGTGGAACTCCCCCAGCTGGTTCTCCAACTCGCTCTCTAACACACACATGTTCTACAGAGAAGATCAGAGTGGGAGACTTTGATTTATTCCTTTCTACACAACCAATCTTAACAATACTCCTGTAGTTGCCACCACCAAGGGGTTATGCTTTTGATTGTTTATTTGTTAAAAGTATAACTCAAAATGTAATAAACAGATTTTGATGATATCTTTTGGAGAGGTAGGGTATGGCTCATGGCACAATTGATTAGATGTTACTGTTGATCCATATCATAATTTGGATACAGGAATATTTTAAAAGATTATTCATCATTGTGAGTGCTGGGAAGGCTGCTGACTGTATATGAGCCTCCTTGTGACCAATGTGTATGGCTGGGCTGCTGAGCACATGCACAGCTGGGGAAAGATCTGCTCTATGCAGCGACAACTGAGTGAGAGCTTGATGGCAAAGATTTTGAGCCAGACTTAAAGCCGTTTTGACATTTTGACGTTTTCAGGTTATAAAGTTACCACTTGGATTGAGAATATGTGGCCAGTCTGTAATACTAGTTTAGACATTTGTTCCAAGATTTTCTGAGATGTGAGTTATGAAAGCCTGAGTCAAAAAATTTTTTCTTTAGTGTTTCTATTTTTATTAGGGCATGAAAAAAACAAATATTCACTTTTTTCAAAAATGTGATTTGTTTCAGATAGTTACACACATGCCCATTCCAGTGGACTACATGTGCCTGAGCACTCAACATAAAACAGTATGAACTTAATGTAAAAATGAATTAAATTGTGTTTTATGGCAAATCCATGAACAATTATTTTTTTTATGCTTTGAAAAACATTTTCACAAATGTGAACATCTCATTGGCCTATTGTTTAGGCCTGAATAGGAAAACAAACCGCTCACAAATGTGAAGCTTATACCTAAGCTAAGTCTAGGTTTTAAAATATCTCCAACAAGAAGAACATTATTCTGAGTCTCCATACTTCTTTATGGATGCAGGACTGGTATTACCATGTCATTATACTAGCATTAATATGTTTTCAGCAACAAGAACAGACATATATGCATCTCTGAACACTTCTGTAATATGCTCTGCATGTCAGTTCATCAAACATAGGTTGTATGAAAGTTGACAAAGCATCCAGGGCACAGTGGCACACAACATTGCATGCAGATGTATTTGGTCTTTCGAGTGCATGCAGCATCGTGGCATCGGTTTGCATTTTTCACCTCTTGCATTTTTCACCTCGGTGAGTTTGGGCCAGTGATTTCCTGTGCCAAACCTGACCTCATGGGGTACTTTAGTGACTGCTCTGCGCTTCACTGGAGGTGGGGTTGCACTGGATCTTCCTCTTCGGCTTTGGTGGAGGGAGCCAGCATTTATTAATGCATGGGCTACAGAAGCTTTGAAGAGGAGAAGATTCATCTTTTCCAATCCAGACATCAGGTAGAGGTGCCAGGCATCCAAAAATAATAAAAAATTCGGATGTATCACCGCTTGTTCCTATGTCTGTGGGGATACATTGCCACACATTGGTCAACGAGATCAACCCCACCCATGTGTTGATTGTAATGGGCCACAGAAAAGGGTCTTTGGACCCTGAGCATCGTTTTTTTCCTTCTTGGCCCATCTCTCGGCCACATCTTCAGGGGACTGGCCAGCACAGGACGAGGTCATGTGGATGACTGAACTGTTGAGCCAACGTGTGACAGTGATGTTTGCATTATCACTGACAACAGAGCAAGCCCCTCTGCCCTCTTCTTTCAGTTGCTGTTCACTCTTGAGTTTCTGATTTGCTCCCTTCAGCCTATTTGCTCTGCATGTACCTGTGCCATAGATGCCACAGTCTTTCAAGGCCTCAATGAGTGGAATGCTGCAAAAGTAGTTGTCAAAAAAGACCTTGTGGTTTTTGTGCTTTATGTCATCACAAAGGCGCATCACTACATCTCCAGCCATTCCCAACCAACTGACGCGTTCACGTCTTGCAGAGCCCTGGTACACTTCAAATCTGTACATATAGCCTGAGGTCCCTGCCCTCACCCATACTTTCATTCCCCAGGGTTTGGGCTTTTTTTGGTATGTATTGTTTGATGGAGAGAAGGCCTTTGAAGGGAATGATTTGCTCATCAAGACGTCTTTCCCCAAATCAACACATCCATAGTAGATCTGATTAAGCTCTCTCTATTAACAGGTTATGTTCCACAGGCTTTTAAAGTTGCAGTAATTAAACCTCTACTCAAAAATCCTACGCATGATGCAGGTATCCTAGCCAACTATAGACCAATATCCAATCTCCCGTTTATTTCTAAAATTCTAGAAAAAGCTGTTGCAAAGCAGTTATGTGACACAAGAATGATTTGTTTCAGGATTTTCAATCAGGTTTTAGAGTTATTCATAGTACAGAAACTACACTGGTGAGAGTCACCAATGATCTTCTCCTAGCCTCAGACAAAGGACTTGTCACCATACTTGTCCTCTTAGATCTCAGTGCTGCTTTTGACACCACTGATCACAGCATCTTAACAAAACTGAAGTTATTGTACTTGGGCCTGCAAACCTTAGAAATGTTTTGTCTAACCATATAGTTACTTTAGATGACATAGCTCTCGCCTCCAGTACTGCTGTGAGGAACCTTAGTCATTTTGACCCAGATATGCCCTTTAAATCACACATAAACCGAGTCTCTAGAACTGCCTTCTTTTACCTGCGTAATATCGCAGGCTGG